CCGCCCATTGGTCGATTCAACAGACGCGGTGGGCGGCGAGACAGGGGTGGGGGCGCTGCGGACCACCCGGCGCCCCGCTGGAACCTGCCGACACCTGGTGCCCGCCCCGCCCCGCCTGCCCGGGCCCCTGTGCACTCGTCCCGGGTCCTGGCACGTCCAGAGACGCGGCGCCGAGGAGAGCCGGATCCACGCGGGTTGGGGCCGCTCGTCTGGAGCGGGAAGCGTGGCTCGCCACCTGGCAGGGGACACACTTTCCCGCAGTAATGTCCCCGGGCCTTTTGTGCGGGGCAGAGAGGCGTGTCCAAGCGGGGAAAGGCCTGGGCTTGTAGATCTGCGTTCCCAGGGAACGTGGGGCTCAGTGACCGGCTCGGAGGGTCCTCGACGGGGTCTCCAAACCCCTCTTTCCGCTCAGAGCAGCTGGGATCGCCCCTGCGCCACCGCTCATGCCCCCTCAGCCCCAGGACCTCCCCGAAGGATCCGCGGTCAGCGCATCCGGGGGCCCAGGTGGCGGGGCGTCGGCTCACCGGCTTGTCGGTTTCTCTGCCAGCAGGTGCTGAGGAGTCCCAGGCGATGCGTCGCAGCAGCTCCAGGAGCGCGGTGGGCTTGGCGCCAGCGGCCCGAGGTCCCGATGGCCGTCCGGTGCTCACCAGGGCCCGGCTAGGCCAGGATCCCCCGCAGAGGACGGTGCTAGGGGTGCTGGCCGACAACGGGCAGTGCCAGCGGGCCTGCGGCCAGGTAATGGCTCCAAAGCCTGGGAAAGGCGCTCCTGGGGAGTGGCTCATCTTAGGGCTGGACACACTCCCCGGGACCTTTTCGGCTCTGGGATAGAGGCTGGTGACTCTAAGCCTGTCCTCCCAGCACTTGGGAGGCCGAGGTGAGAAGACTGTCTGAGCCCTCAGGTTCCAGACCAGCCCGGCCAACTTGGCAAGACCTCGTCTCTACAATAAATCAAAAATTGGCCAGGCATGGTGGTGCTCGCCTGTAATTCCGGCTACTTGGAAGGCTGAGGTGGAAGGAAGGATCGCTTGAGCCCAACAGGCGATGATGGGGTGGCCGAGAGCCTGTCACTGCACTCCAGCCTGGGCGACGGAGTGAGATTCCAACTCAAAAAAGAAAAAAAGGTCACCTTGACTGTCCCTTTTTCAGATAGAAATAGTGATCAATTTTCTTCTTTTTAATTTTAAAGATGTAGGATACAATTCAGAATTAGGTATACAAGTCATACGGGTGATTACTTTTCTTTGTTATTTTTTCAGGATCACGGAAATAGGTCTAGGAACTGTTTGGATTAAGTACACATAAAGTGGTTTATGCTGGCCGCGGTAGCTCCCACCTATAATCCCAGCATTTTGGGAGGCAGAGGCCAGAGGACTGCCTGAGCCCACGGGTTTGAGACCAGCCTGGGCAACTTGGCGAGACCTTGTGTCTACAGTAAATTAAAAAATTAGCTGGGTGTGGTGGCGTGTTCCTGTAGTCCCAGTTACTTGGGAGGCTGAGCTGGATCACCTGAGCCCAGCAGATCGAGGCTGCCGTGATCGTGAGCTATGCCACTGTACTCTAGCCTGGGCCACAGAGTGAGATTCTGACTCGAAACAAAAATAAATACATAAATAAATAAAATAAAGTGGTTTTAAAGGTTGGGCTAAGAGGAAATGTGAATGTCCCCAAATAAACAATGGAACCGGGGTTCCTCCAGGTCAGAATGGTGTTCAGGCTGACGTAGACTGTGTTCACTGGGGACAGTGTTAGAATCAGGCTAGACTAGATTACTCGAAAAAAGGTGCTTCCAGGCCAGGCACGATGGCCCATGTCTGTAATCCCAGCACTTTGGGAGGCCGAGGCAGGAAGATCACTTGAGCCCAGGAGTTCGAGACTAACCTGGGCAATATGGCAAGACTCTGTCTCTACCAAAAAAAAAATAGCCAGACTTGGTGGCACATGCCAGGAGCCCTAGCTACTTGGGAGGCTGAGGAGGAAGGCTCAGCTGAGCCTAGGAGGTTGAGACTGTGGTGAGCCACGATTGTGCCACGACACTCCAACCTGGGTGACAGAGTGAGACCTTGACTCAAAATAAAAAAGAAAAAGAGTGTTTCGAAAGTAGACGTCTCCCCAGTACTGACCAAGCAGCTGACTAGCAGATCATGGGCCCTCAGACATTAGTAGTGTGAACTCAGCTGATGATAGATACCTTCCTTAGCAGATTGAAAACAGTATCGGCCAGGAGCTGTGGCTCATGTCTCTAATCCCAGCACTTTGGGAGGCCGAGACCAACTTGGGCAACATGGTGAGACCTTGTCTCTACAATAAATCAAAAAATTAGCCAGGTATGGTGGCGTGTCCTAAGGCAGAAGGATCACCTGAGCCCAACAGGTAGAGGCTGCAGTGGCAGTGAGCGTGCCCCTGCATTCCAGCCTGGGCAACAGAGTAAGACTGCAACTAAAAAAAAAAAACCAACCCCCCCCCCCGCAAATCCCCCAGTGTCGTTCCCATTTTATATGTGAGAACATTTGAAAAGTTCAAGCCCCTCCCAAAATAAAGTTATGGTGAGGCTAGCTTAGAAAGCCCTCATCTACAGATTCTTCAAGTGTTCTGTTCATCGCTTTGGAGAAAATTGAATGGAAAGCTTTTTGTGTTTTGTGTTTTTTTTTGAGTTGAAGTCTCTTTCTGTCACCCAGACTGTAGTATAGTGGCACTCTCCCGGCCACCACAGCCTCGACCTGTTGGGCTCAGGCGATCCTTCCGCTTCAGACTTCCAAGTAACTGGAACTACAGGCGCGTGCTACCACGCCTGGCTAATTTTTTGATTTATTGTAGAGACAAGGTCTTGTCAAGTTGTCCAGGGTGGTCTCGAACCCATGGACTCAGGCAATCCTCTCACTTCGGCCTTCCAAAGTGCTGGGATTATAGGCATGAACCACCTCCCGGCCTTCTTTTCGTTTTTAATGAAATCGGTGACCTGTATAAGGACCTGGTTCTTATGAATTGGCAGTTGGATCTGTGCCAAGTGGTCTTTTAAGTTTCCAGCTGTTGAACTCTCATGCTGCCTGCTGCCAGCCCTGCATTTCCCTGTTCCGTTCTTCCAGAACCTTCAACATCCATCTCCTGCCTTCCCTTCTCTCTTGAATCCTCCAGAATATCCTTCTCCATTCTTACTCTCCGCCGATGAATTTGCATCCGATTTTCCTAAACACGTAGAAGCAACCAGGAGAGATTCTCCACGTGTGCCCTTGTGCTGTTCTCTTCCATCCTCATCCTGTCATGTGATGGCTGTGCCCTGCGCTCCTGCAAGGGGAACCCCCTGTGCACAGAATACCCCATGACCTCCTGCCTCATTGGGGGTGTCACTCCAGCACCTCTTCTTTCTCTCATCAAACCCATAAACCTGCACATATGCTGCATTCTTTTCCATCTTAAAAACCTGTCAACTAAAAGCTCTTTGCAACTTTTGTCTCATTTGTGTGGCAACATCTTTTGAGAGTTTGTCTATCCCCCAGCATGTGAGCCCATCCTGATGAGGACTTGAGCTGTTGTGTTCACAACTGTGTGTCCACAGCTTAAGACAGTGCCTGGGCCTGGCCTGGGTACCAGGGCAACACACAAATATTTGTTGGATGAATGCTCTCTGTTTCTATTTCTTCTTTCTTTTTGTGTTTTTTAGAGTCTGGGTCTGACTCTGTTGCCCAGGCTGGAGTACCGTGGGACAATCATGGCTCACCACAACCTCAACCTCCTGGGCTCAAGTGATCCTCCTGCCTCAGCCTTTCAAGTAGTTAGGACTACAGGCACATGCCACCATCCTCAGCTAATGAAAAAAAAACTTTTTAGGCCGAGCTGAGGGGATTGCCTGGGCTCAGGGGTTCGAGACCAGCCTACACAAGTTGGTAAGACTGCGTCTCTACAATAAATCAAAAAATAAGCCGGATGTGGTAGTGCACGCCTATAGTTCCAGCTACTTGGAAGGTTGAAGAGAAAGGATTGCCTGAACCCAGCAGGTCGAGGCTGCTGTGGCTGAGAGCAGCATGCCACTGCACTCCAGCCTGGGTAACAAAGTGACACTCCAACTCAAATAATAATAATAAAAATTAAAAAAAAATTTTTTTTGTAGCAGCAAGGTCTTACTATGTTGCCCAGGCTGGTCTTGAACTCCTGGGCTTGAATGATCCTCCCACCTTGGCCTCCCAAAGTGCTGCACCCGGCTACAGTGGCATCCCTTGAGAGTTTGTCTATCCCACTGGCACGAGAGCCCATGCTGACGAAGACATGGTTGTCATGTTCTCAGTTGTGGGTCCATAGTTTAGAACACTGGACCTGGCCAGGGTGGCACACAAGGATTTGTTGGATGAGTTCTCTGTGTCCTCTTGTTCTCTTTTAACTTGATCTTTAGTCCTTTACTTGAATGACCAGCATGATTTCACATAGCTGATCATTCCTTATTCCTGAAAATAATTTCTTCTTACTCAGCCTGGAGAACACGACGGACTCCAGCTTTTCTATATAGCTCAATGCCCGCTACTCAGTATCCCTGTTCTTCGTGTGTCTCCAAACTGGATGTTAAAGTGTCCCAGGGCTTAGTCTTTGGTCTGAATCTTGCACTCACTCCTTTAGTAATCTCTCCAAGTCTTCCCGCATTAAACACTGTCTGCTGGCAGCTGATATTTTGATCTCTGACCTGGGCCTCTGAGCTGTCTTGTGGGCTCACATGTTCAGAAACCTACTTGGTATTTCCACTGGGATCATACAGCAGGCACCTATATTGGTGAAAAACCAACACCATCCCTTTTCCGTACCCCCAGCCTGCTCTTCTCAGAGCCTTCCTCAGTGAACGGAATGTCTGTCCTCCGTTATCTAGCCTCAAAACCTTTGTCGTCCTTGACTTATTTTTTTCTCGCACCCCACATCTGATCTAGTGAGAAAACACCATTGGCTCTAGCTTTTAAAATGCCTAGCGCCTCATCGCATCACATCTTTTACTGTTACTTCCCTGACTCAAATCCCTATCGTGTCTTTCCTGAGATTTGTAAGTTTCTTTTTTTTTTTTTTTCCTCTCCCTCCTCTGCAAGTTTCTTAATTGATCTTCTGCTGATCTTGCCCTCCACACCCACACACAGTTGGGTTCTCTGTTTTGAGACATAAAGTATCATGCCACTCTTCTGCCCAAAATCTTTCAGTGGCTTCCGCCTCTGAATAAAAGCCAATCTTTTTTTTTTTTGAGTCTGTCGTCCACGGCCACTGCAGCCTCCACCTGCTGGACTCAGGTGATCCTTCCACCTCAGTCTTCCAAGGAGCTAGAACTACAGGTGTGCGCCACCATGCCCAGCTAATTTTTCTTGGATTACTGTAGAGACAAGGTCTCTCCAAGTTGCTCAGGGTGGTCTCAAACCCCTGGGATCAGGCAGTCCTCTCACCCCCACCTCTCAAAGTGCTGGCACTACAGGCATGAGCCACCACACATGGCTAAAAGCTAATCTTTAAATGGCCTATAGTAAGGTCTACGTGATCTGGCCTCTCTTTTCTTTCTTTTGTTTTTTGAGTTGGAGTCTCACTCTGTCATCCAGGCTGGAGTGCAGTGGCTCATCACAGCCTTGATCTCCTGGGCTCAGGCGATCCTTCTACCTCAGCCTCCCAAGTGGCTGGGGCTACAGGCATGCATCACCACACCTGGCTATTTTAAAAATTTTTTTATAGAGACGAGGTCTTGCTATGTTGCCTAGGCTGTTCTCAAACCCCTGGACTCAAGTGATCCTCCCGCCTCAGCCTCCCAAAGGACTGGGATTACAGCGTGAGCCACCACACCTGGCCTGGCCTCTCTTTTCTTTCTGACTTCATGTCTGACATGACTCTCCATCTCACTCTGCTCTGTCTGCTCCTACTATATCTTTTCTTGTTTGTCCCCTCCCTCCTCTCTATCTGGACTAGAATGAAAACTCTATGAGGGTAGTACTTTCATTCACTGTTAAATTCTAGGCACCTGGAACAGCCTCTGGCACATAGTAGATGTTCAGTAAATGTTTGTTTAATAAATATATGTCTCCACCTCTGTACAAGAGTTGAACTTGGCAGAAACTTGGAGTCATGGTTATTTGGTTTTAGTAGCTTGTGATTATGGCCCTTAATAATCTTTGTGCTTTTTTCCCCCTGCACTAAAGGTATTTTTTTCTTACTAGACATACATCACATATTTAACTTGACTAATGGAAAAAGAAAGTTACAAAACCACATTCCAACTTGAAAATAACCTTCAATAATCTGCACCGGAGTAAACTATAAATAAAATGCTAATGTAATAGACATAGGTAACATTCACACAAACATAGCTCAGGGTTGTAAAGCTTGTCCTGGGTCAGCTATCTTTCATGCCATGCAACATGACTCACCTTAAGCTGTGACAGTATTTGATGCATTATGCTCATTCACTGAGGTGGCACCACAGGTGTTCCCGTTGTTAGTGTTATAAGCATATGGAAAAGGAAGAAGTGATTGAGAACTTTCCCCAAGAGTAATTGCATTGTGCCATCCAAAAAGATTCCATGGCTTGCAAGAGAATTTAGCAGTACAAGTTTCCAGAATCGCCATGTTTCCAAATAACTGAGTGTAAATGGTAGCTTTCAGGGGTCACCTGCCTAAAAAGACAACTGTTTAAGGAGAGGTACTGTAGGAACTCAGTAATTGTGTGTCAAGAGCTATGCTGACTGCCTATAAAGTCCCATTATGCTGTAAACATAAAAGCCAATTACAATTTTCTCTAGACATACTGTACTTTATTGTTTAAGGAGAGCTATAGTTTTTCTCTTTCCTTCCTGCCTTCATCTTTTTCTTTCCTTCTTTCCTTCCTTCCTTTTCTTTCTTTTTTTCTGTCTGAGTCTCACTCTACTGCCCAGGCTGGAATACAGTGACATGATCATGGCTACTGTAGCCTTGCTCTGCTGGGCTCAGAGGATCCTTTTGCCTCAGCCTTCCAAGTAGCCGGAACTGCAGATGTGCGCCAACATGCCCAGCTTATTTTTTGATTTATTGTAGAGATGAGGTCTTGCCAAGTTACCCAGGCAGGTCTTGAGCCCCTGGGCTTAGTCAGTCCTCTCACCTCGGCCTCCCAAAGTGCTGGGATAACAGTCGTGAGCCACCTGGCTACTTTTCTTTCCTCTGTAATCTTCTTGAGTTCCTTTTGATGTCTATTATAGGAAAATGACAAATTTTTAGGTAGCTCTTTTCCTATCTAGCAAATGTAGACAAAAATAAGGGAAAGTCATACTTAGAAATCTCATGTTCCAGAATCAAGTTGCCAGCATAGATATTTCAGTTTGATTTTTGCCTTACCTGCCTGGGCTGCTGGCCTGTGTCATGTGGTCTACAGGGTCTCTGCGGTGGCCTCTGATAAAAGATTGAACCCTTTTTTTAGGGGATCACAACACTCAGATGTTTTTCTGGATCAGAAAATGCCCTCCCTCCAACTGAAAAGAAAGTCCTCTCTGACTGCGGGGTCCTTGAGCCCCTCCAGCAAGGGTTTGACATCTACATGGATGAACCAGAGCAGGCAGATGGAGACAGCTGCTCAGGCAGGGAAGGGATGTCGTTTGAGGAGGTGTGTGAAGTAGACACCAGCACACTCAAGTCAGACCTGCATTTCCTGCTGGATTTCAACACAGGTAATCTGCCCTGCCTGCAGTCCATGATGCCCTGGGTCTATGCGCCGTCCTGCAGTTGAGTAGCAAGTAACTTGCAGGAGAAAAACAGGAGGCAATGGCTACATTCACAGTGGCCTGTGGAGGGCTAGTGAGAGGGAGGAGCTTGTCAATTAAATAACTTACCTGACAATGTTGAAACCCTGCAGTTTCCCCCATGCTGGTCGATCCATCTCTCCATTCCCCGCCTAAAGAAGCATCTGATGTTGGCACAGACGTGGTAAATGTGACTGAATATGCGGAGGAAATTCATCAGTACCTTAGAGAAGCTGAAGTGAGTTTTCTCAACTTCTACTTGCATTTCCAAGCCCCCAGGCTACTAATATTAAAATAAATTATAGGCTGGGCACATTGACTCACGCCTTTCATCCATGAGGCCTCGGAAAGCCAAGGTGGGAGGCTTGCTTGAGCCCAGAAGTTCAAAACCAGCCTGGGCAACATAGCGAGAGCTCATCTTTACAAAAAAATAAAAAATTAACTGGACATAGTGGCATACGCCTGTAGTCCCAGCTACTTGAGAGCCTTGAGGAGGAAGGATGGACTGAGCCCAGGAGGTTGAGGCAGTGGTGAGGCATGGATTATGCCACTATACTCTAGCCTGGGTGACAGAGCAAGCCTCTGTCTCAAACACACACACACACACACACACACACACACACACACACACACACACACACACGTATGTTATAAAGTCTTGGCTATAACCACTGCTGAATGGCACTCTTGTGACAGCCAAACATAAGAAAATGAAAAATAGCAACGCACCGGGTGCGGTGTCTCAAGCTTTGGGAGGCGGAGGCGAGAGGCTTGCCTGAGCCCAGGGTTTGAGACCAGCCTTGGCAACTTGGCGAGACCTCATCTCTACAATAAATAAATAAATAATAATTAGGCTAGGTGTGGTGGCTCAAGCCTATAATCCCAGCACTTTGGGAGGCTGAGTTGAGAGCATTGCCTCAGTCTGGGGGTTCAAGACCAGCTTGGGCAGCTTGGTGAAACCTCATCTCTACAATTAAAAAAAAAAATTAGCCAGGTGTGACTCAAAATAAAAAGTAAATAACACTTGTGATGTTGAATAGTCATTCCTTAGACCATTTCTATAGGAGTCGTGGTTTTTATATGTTAAGTATTTCACTCTTAGGAATAACTCATTGCTATTCCCCCCCTCCTTATTTATTTACCAATTAATGACAAGGGCAGCATTTCATATTTTCTTTCTTATGATAAAAATGTATTTGACTCTGAATCAGGAACCAGCTTACCTTTGCTCATGAGCTTTTTAAAAAGAGCAACTAACTGCACTGTGAGGTGATCTCTCCGAGATCACAACTATTTAAGTATCAAAATGCTTTCCCCAAGCAGATAAGGTACAGACCCAAAGCTCACTACATGAGGAAACAGCCGGACATCACAGAAGGCATGCGCACGATTCTGGTGGATTGGCTGGTAGAGGTGGGCGAGGAATACAAACTTCAGGCAGAGACCCTGTACTTGGCTGTCAACTTCCTGGATCGTTTCCTCTCATGCATGTCTGTTCTGAAAGGGAAACTGCAGCTTGTGGGAACAGCAGCTATTCTCCTGGCCTCGTAAGTGTTCTTTCAGCTCGAATAACGTGAAACTGTCACCTGTCAAAACACTTAATTTTTATCCTCCGTTTATTGAAGAAATGCAGTGCTTGATAATTAAAACCGTTCATGCTTCCTTTGATAAAAGATCATTTTTACGGGATTTACCAAGAATCTGAATCTTACCACCTGCTCAGTCTTCAATTCAGATGCTTAAAATTTATAGCAACAAGTTCGATGTCATGACCAAGGCAGTCATCAGCTCAAGTTCAGGATCTAATGTAACTATTTTGCAGTGGGGCCTTTTGGCTGTGTTCTAAAATACGTATGAATCCTATTCAAAGAGATGTTGGTTACATAAAAGCTGTGTTCGTGATTGATCTAGCAAATATAATAACACAGTTTGTTTACTTGGCTACAGTAAATACACTTTTTCAGCTGGTTCTCATTACTATCAGTCATTCCTTTTTTAAAACATTTTTTATTTTAAATTTGTGGGATACAGTTAAGGGTTAGGTATACAAGTATGCATTGTGCAGGTACCCTTGTTGATGAGGTGTGCCCCCTCTCCCATCCCCAGACAGATATTGACTACCGTTAATCCCACCTCCCTTCCCCTCCCTGCCCCGCCCTGTAGTTCCCCGCCACTGTCAATCCTTTTCTTATAGTATTATGATAGATAAGTTTCAAGGTCCACTTATAAGTGAAAATGTGATACTCAGGACTTTGTTTCTCTGAGAGATCACTATTACAAACTCTAATTCCATCCAGGTTGCTGCAAAACTTATGATTTTGTTCTTTTTTATGACTGCGTAATATTCCATTGTGTATATGTACCACATTTTTTTGATGGACAACATTTGTCTTCTGATGGACAGCATGGTTGGTTCCATGATCTTGCTATTGTGAACAATGCTGCAATAAACATACTCATAAATGAACCTTGAACAATTACGATAGTTGTTCAAGGTTCATTTATGAGTATGTTTATTGCAGCATTGTTCACAATAGCAAGATCATGGAACCAACCATGCTGTCCATCAAAAGAGGACTGGATTAAAAAAATGTGGTACATATACACAATGGAATATTATGCAGCCATAAAAAAGAACAAAATCATGAATTTTGCAGCAACCTGGATGGAATTAGTGTTTATAATACTGAGTGATCTCTCACAGAAACAAAGATCTGAGTATCACATGTTCTCACTATCAGTCATTCTTAGCAAGACCTAATCTTATGTGAAAAGAGAACTGGGTTGTTACTGATCTACCTTTTTAAGTGACCCGTTGCTGAGTGGTAGTTTCCTTTCTATTCTCCTGGTCTCAAATATTTTATTATTAGTGCATAAAAACATGCCAGAATTCCACTAAGGAAAGTAAAAAGCAAGCCAAGCATGGTGGCTCATGCCTGTAGCCCCAGCACTTTAGGAGGCAGATGTGAGAGGATTGCCTGAGCCCAGGGGTTTGAGACCAGCCTGGGCAACTTGGCGAGACCTTATCTCTACAATTAAAAAAAAAAATTAGCCAAGTGTGGTGGTGTGAGCCTGTAGTTCCAGCTACTTGGAAGGCTGAGGCAGAAGGATGACCTGAACCCAGGAGGTTGAGGCTGCAGTAGACGTGATTGTGCCACTGCACTCAAGTCTGGGCGACAGAGTGAGACTTGGACTCAAAAAACACAGTAATTTTTAAAAAGTAGAAACAAAAGGAGAAGGAAAAAATTGATACTCATAGGATCAATTATATCATGTTTATTTTTCTTGGCTGTACAATATCATTTGCTAATTCGTTAGAGGAAGTCGAACAGGATCTTTTTACAAATTAGAGGTCCATGGATTTTTTGTGTGTGTCATTGTGTTCCTCATAGCATTCTTCTTCACGCTATGATTTGCGGTCTATTGACTTAATAGGAATTTACCTGCAGCGTCTGTTGTTCAGAAGCTTTCAGTATATTAGAGGCCAAAACCTAACTCGGTTCTCATTTGGAAATGGTTTCGGTTACCACTTCAAGCAATAGGTACAGCACATCCTGGTAATGACTCATACTCTCGGTCTGGAAACAAGCTCCTGACAATTTCATAGCCCTGTGTCACTCAGGGGCATTTCAGCGGATTTGTGGATATAAAGTGAAGGCATCTGCCAGGGCCCTGCAGAGAAGCGTGGCTTGTGGTAGCACTGGAAGTAGCCCCACAGGCTCCGAGCCTTCCTTCTCCAAATTCTTTGTCTTTGCTAGGAAATACGAGGAGATCTATCCGCCCGAAGTAGACGAACTGGTCTATATCACCGACGACACTTACACGAAGCGGCAGCTGTTGAGAATGGAACAACTGCTCCTGAAAGTCCTAGCTTTTGATCTGACAGCACCAACCACCAACCAGTTCCTCCTCCAGTACTTGAGGAGACAAGGAGTGTGCATCAGAACTGAAAACCTGGCCAAGGTATGTGTGCCACGTGACTTCCAGGAACTTCCAGGGCCAGGAAGCTAAAAAGCGGCCTTTCCCAGTCATCTGCCAGTTCTTCCTTCCTTTACAGTTACCCACCTCACCCCCTGTGGGTGGCCCAGGAAAACTTTTTTTTTTTTGAGTCGGAGTCTCACTCTGTCACCCAGACTGGAGTGCAGTGGCCGCTCCTGACCGCTGCAGCCTCGACCTGCTGGGCTCTGGCAATCCTTCTGCCTCAGCCTTCCAAGGACCTGGAACTACAGGCACGTGCCACCATGCACACCTAATTTTTTTTTTAATTTATTGTAGAGATGAGGTCTCACCAAGTTGCCAGGGCTGGTCTCCAACCTGTAGGCTCAGGCAATCCTCTCGCCTCGGCCTCCCAAAGTGCTGGGATTATAGGCGTGAGCCACCGCATCCGGCCAGGAAAATTTTTTAGCATGGGAAGAGAGCTGATTTTAAGAACATGACTTCTAAACAAGACATTACTTTTGACTACATTTGGTAGGCCAGCTGTTAGAGAGATTTTACGCTTGGAAACTGCTCCTTTGTTGAATACAGACCATGTCCAGCAATAGCTCTCAGTTTACAGAATGGGCGCAAAGCAAATGCAGTTTAACTGGCTTCTAATCTCATCTTAAAATATTAAGCGATGAAGCATTATATGGTCATTTGGAATCACAGAACTGTAGTTGAAGGCATTAAAGTATTGGTTTGGTCAACTTGATTTCCAACCACTGCCGTCTCGGATATCTGATATTTATGTGTGATGCAAAGAGTAACAAGGATGTCTACATCAATTTCCCAGTACTTTTCTTCTAGTATGATGTGTTCCCACTGGTGCTGTTCTGGTCTCTGAACTTCATGCGTCTGCCTGATAAATTAATAGCTGTAATATGCTCAGAGTTTTGCCTTCTGGCCAAAGGCTCTCTTACATTCTAGCTGCTGGAGCAATGCTACTTTATCAGATTCTCATAAGCCTGAACTACTAGCATAAGATAAGTAAGCTACCATACAGACCGTGCGGGTAGGCCAAATACTTGTGTATTGACATTTTATTACGACATAAATGTTATTTTTGTTCTAAACAGGCCTACCAATGATTAATGCAGTGAACAATTTTGAGTATTTCCGCACTTGTCACTAGATGCTGGTTGAACAAAGAAAAGACAGTTTATTCCCTAGTGATTTCTAGGTTTACTTGTGAGCTTAGTCCAGGTTCTCATTCCAATGAGATTTTTCTCTCTTGTGCTTAGTACGTAGCGGAACTGAGTCTCCTTGAAGCCGACCCATTCTTGAAATATCTTCCTTCACTGATAGCTGCGGCAGCTTATTGCCTGGCAAACTATACTGTGAACAGGCACTTCTGGGTAAGATTCTAGCTTCTTTCAAGATGACATTCGAGGCCTATGTAAAATCTGTGTGGTAACTCTCGAGGCTTAGAATGGGCTTGCCTCTTATAAGGGCAAGTTAGTTTAATAAGGAACTGGTTGCCTTGACAAGAGATTACAACATGCTGCTGAGTCTTTCAGTAAACCTTTGCAGCTTTGACCAATGACTTTATTCTATGAGGAGTGAGACTGCAGGAAGTCAAGGGCATAGAGCATCACATGCTTCTTCAACAGATACAGGCCTGAAAACCTCAGTGCCTGCTGTTATGTGTGGAGAGCACTTGAGGTGTAGTCATTGACCACATTAAGCAATAGTTGTTGATTTTTCCCTGTGTGGAAAAAACCTAAAAAATCAAAAACAATCTGGGTCCGATTAGGACCACCTGAAGACTGTACCAGGCTTCCAGGAGAACAGGGCAGTTAGTACTGCCTCTTACCCCAGAAGGTGACAAGATCAGAAATGGGGCCCTAGGTTTGGCTCTGAAGGCTCACTGTTGTGCTAAAAGAAGTGGGATGTCTACCTTTGTTTTCTGGAATACTTACCCTTTTCTGCTGCATTTTAACTAAGAATTTTTAACTGTTCTATACAAATAGAATGTTTAGGCAGAGGGGGTTCTTTAAGGACCAGTAAAAGTCCCACTTATGGGGGAATAGGGAAGGCGATCCACCTCCAAGTTTGTTTCCTCGTTTGTTTTTGAGTCAGAGTCTCATTCTGTTGCCCAGGCTGTTCGTGTAGGGGCATGATCACAGCTCACTGCAGCCTCGACCTGCTGGGCTCAAGCAATCCTCCCACCTCTAAGCCTCCGAAATAGCTGGGACTGCAGGTGTGTGCCACCACGCCTGGCTAATTTTTATTTATTGTAGAGACATGTTCTCGTCATGTTGCCCAGGTTGTTCTCAGACTCCTGGGCTCAGGCAGTCCTCTCGCCTCGGCCTCTCCAAGGGCTGGGATTACTGATGTGAGCCTGGTCCCAAATTGAGTTATTATAAATACACAATATGAGGAAATTTAGAACTCGGCTGTTCTTTCTGTATGTTACACCTAACATCTCTGAAGGAGGTTATGGTTTCTTTTGAGATGAATGTGGCTATTCAAAAACTGAGGAACTAATTCCCTTTATTTCACAACCAATGACCTTTAGACTTTACAATCTCCTAAAGTAACATGAAGCATTTTTTCTCTTTTGTCTCGAATAGCCAGAAAGCCTAGCTGCATTTACAGGCTATTCATTAAGTGAGATTGTGCCTTGCCTGAGTGAGCTCCATAAAGCGTGCCTTGATGTCCCCCATCGACCTCAGCAAGCGATTAGGGAGAAGTATAAGGCTTCAAAGTAAGTCCCCGACATTCTCTTTTCTTGGCTGTCTATCTCAAGCTCACTGGGTTGTAGCGATGTCAGGATTAGAAATAAAGCAACTTGTATATCTGGTGCTAGGTTGGAAATGCAAGGTTCCATGTTAAATCCTCAGAATAAATTTGAAGAGGTCTAGATTTTCAGTTTGTCCGCTTGAAGTACTTAGAGTCAGTCACCTTCTGCCCGTCCTGTTAAAACTTCTAGAATGTTTTCTGTGGGCTAAGTGGGATTTTGCAGATCGGAAGTCCTTTTGTGCTGACCTCATGCTGGGTCTCATTTCAGGTACCTGCATGTGTCTCTCATGGAACCCCCAGCAGTTCTTCCTCTACAATAAGTCTCTGAACGGAAGCCCTTCCAGAACAGACCCTCTGCATCCACAGAGCCGCTCTTAATTTTCATAGGTTTCTGAAGGTCGGGTCAACTCATGTTGCTATGACATAAATGACATTTTGAAAAAAAAAAGTAAATGTATTTAGGTTCTCTTAGACTACAGTTGCTTGTAATAGAGTCTAACGTTTTTAAAAGAATAAACGACTTGTCTTATGACCATGTGTTAGGCTCACTTACTGTCACACTTGGCTGGAATTTTGGCTGAGCGCATTGTAAGCATCCTCTCTATCGCAAGCATTCTTCTAAGTTGTTTTACACAAGCGGCATACTCTCAGGACTAAATGCTCTGAGGCATCTGGGGATCTTTATGTTGGGGAAATGGCTGCTCTGAGGTTTTTTTCCTTGCAGTCTCTTTTTTCCCTACCTGACTGTCCATAGAGGAAGGGCCAGTCCAGACCCACTGGGGCAAGGATATGCATAGGCACTGCCTTCTCTTGGTTTGCTTAACACCCCAGGTTAGGATGACAGGGGTTTGAGGCCTAAATGCGGCCAAGTGCCTCTTCAGGATCACTTACAGGTAATTCTAATCCAGGGACGCCATGTGTAAGGGACTGCCATTGTGTCTATGTTCAGTTTTGATCTAGGCACCCATTGAGTGCATATTTCAGTCTTAGAAGATGCGTTGGGAGGTAGAAAAAGCAAATTTCACCATCAGAAAAAAACTTGAACAGTGAAGCCAGTCTCTCATCTCTGTCCCTTGGAAAATAACTGTGGCTTGAATTATTCCTGATTCTACATTTCATTGTGCTACATTTATTTAGGATACTTTTCTTTTTTTTTGAGTCAGAGTCTCACTCTGTTGCCCAGGCTAGAGTGCAGGCACACGCTCATGGCCACTGTGGCTTCTACCTGCTGGGCCCAGGTGACCCTTCCGCCTCAGTCTTCCAAGTAGCTGGAACATTAGGCACGCACCACCACACCTGGTAAATTTTTTGATTCATTGTAGAGACGAGGTCTCACTGAGTTGCCCAGGCTTGTCTCGAAGTCCTGGGCTCAGGTAATTCTCTCCTGAGCCCAGGAGGTCGAGGCTATGGTGAATCATGATTATCTCACTGCACTCTAGCCTGGGCCACAGAGTGAGACCCTGACTCCATATATATATGGATATAAAGAACAATGCTTGCTTTTATTTTTTGCTTGTTTTTAAAATGCAACAATTTTTGACTTTCTCATATCCTTCAGTGAGGAGGCCTCAGGTGGCATTGTTTTTTGTGACTGTGTGTTGAATAAGTAGAATCCCAATTATTTATACTATTATGTAGTCTTTTTTTTTTTTTTTTGAGTCAGAGTCTCTCTGTTGCCCAGGCTGGAATGCAGGGACATGCTCACAGCCACCGCAGCCTCAACCTGCTAGGCTCCGGAAGGCTGCTCTGCCTCAGCCTTCCAATTAGCTGGAACTCCAGGTGTGCACCACCATGCCCGGCAAACATTGTGATTTATTGTAGAGATGGGGACTTGCCAGGTTGCTCAGGCTGGTCTCGAACTCCTGAGCTCAGGCAGTCCTCTCGTCTCCGCCTCTCAAAGTGCTGGGATTACGGGTGTGAGCCACCATGCCCTGTTCACCATGCCCTGATGAGCGTTTTGATGTGTTTGCTTATATCAGTCAAGACATTGTTACTCGCATCAACTTATATGTTACCTTCGAGTTTGATTGACTAGCTAACTAATAAGGGAGAGAGCCGTTCCCATGTGGCAACCAACACAGTGGAGTGTTGGAGTTACAATGTCGTTTTGGCCATACACTGCAAGTGCATAAATATTCTCAGCTGATTCTTAGTCATATTAACTGTTATTTTATTTTATTTTTTTGAGTCACGGTCTCACTCTGTCGTCCAGACTGGAGTGCAGTGGGCATGATCATGGCTCACCACAGCCTCTACTTCTGGGCTCAGCCTTGCAAGTAGTGTGGACTATAGGCATGCACCATCACACCTAGATAAGTTTTTGATTTCTATAGAGATAAGGTCTTGCTATGTTGCCCGGGCTGGTCTTGAACTCCTGGGCTCAAGCAGCCCTCTTCCCTCAGCCTCCCAAGGTTCTGGGATTACCGGTGTGAGCATTGCACCCTCTGGAATCCCTTTTAATTGCTTGGGTTGTTGCACACCATCTTAACCCGAGAAGTCAGCTGAACTTGGCTCTTGATTAAGCCCAGACTCAGCTAATGAAGACTGTGGGTCAGAACACTCAACGTCCAAAAATTCAAAGTAGAAGCCTGGATTTCGCAATCGCTGGCTGCAGGGCTGAACTTGTGTGTCTCTTGGCCTCTGTAAGCAACCTGGGCCGGAGTTAGACTCCATAATAAAGGGAAAGTACTATCAGGTTGCCTCCTTTGCTCTGCTGCCCAGACCGAAACTGAGCTACAGATGAGAGGCTGGGTGAACGTGTGGACCAGTTGAAGGAAGGGAATGGGTCAACTCAGGCTCTTTGACAAGCTTGGCCCTACTGGAAGGGATTTGCTTTTCTTGCTTGAGTCTGTGATGAAAGCAGAGAATATCATAACCCACTTGGGGAGTCGAGTGAATGTCTCCACGGTCACAATACTGATTTTACACTTGTGCCATCTAAAATGAGATTTTTGCAATTTCAGTGATTCTCAGTAGCCTGTTCTTTTAGAATAATTGAAACAAGAAGCAAATACAGTGGAAAAACAGCACTGCTTTTCTCTCTCTGCCCAGAAATTGATCCTTCACAAAGATACTTAGGAGACCAGAGTCCTAATTCCAGTTTGGTATTCATTGTATTTATTCCAGCCTGGGCAGCATAGTGAGACCTCATCTCTACAAAAAATAAGTTTTAAAAAATTAGGCATGGTGGCGTGCACCAGAAGTCCCAGCTGCTTGGGAGGCTAGGGCTGAAGGATCACCTGAGCCCTGGAGTTTGTGGCTGCGATGAGCCATGATTGTGCCACTGCACTCCAGCCTGGGTGACAGAGGGAGACCCTGGCTCAAAAGGGAAAAAATAAAATTGTGTGACACTGTTGCATTTGGGTAAGCTAATTGCTTTAACCATCCCCATATCTTTGTGGCCCACCATCTCAGAGATTCACCTCTCATGTCACCCTCTAGTGTGTCTTGGGAAAAGGAAGCTTTTGTTTCTACATGACCATCCTTCCCTAGGGGTTCCCCACTGTATTCTTGTATTTGGCAGATGAAGAAAGAGAAAGAACATGGAGAAGACATATTACTGCATGGGACTGGGGAGCATAATTTAGCTGCAAGCCCTGGAAGGACAGGGGAGTTGAGTGTTGATTAACAGTCTGACTTTGCCTCAGCTGGCATCAGCTTAGTGTCCTGGATTTCAATCTCTTCATGAGCAATGAGTTTGATTCGATCAGTATTTGTCAATTTTGAGCTACTTATCCATTTGTGTTATTTCTGCCAGTTCTAGATATCACCTTTTAAAGGACTTACTTTTTAAAAAACTTAGCCTCTCCTTAGCCATAATAATCCTGAAATAATGCATGCAATCTGCTAGTTACACATTTTCAGATACACGTTAGAATATGTAACTATTGACTATAGGTCACTTAAAATTCTGTGCTCTATCAGATACACGTCACCCCATAGGAATTCAATGATCTGAGATTCCATCCAATGCTGTGGAAAAATTTTTGTGCTTATAAGTGTAGATGTCAGCTGGGCACAGTGGTATGCCTGCCATTCCAGCACTTTAGGAGGCTGAGGCAGGAGGATTGCTTGAGCCCAAAGTCTGAGACCAGCCTGGACAATGTAGCCAGGTGTGGTAGCCTGCACCTGTAGTCCCAGCTACATGGGGGGCTGAGGAGGGAGTATCGTTTTAGCCCTGGAGTTCAAGGCTGTGATTGTATCACTGCCCTACAGTCTAGGCGACAGAGTGAGACCCTGACTCAAAATAATAATAACAATAATAATAACTTAAAAAAAGTAAACACCAACAAGAATTCACTTTGTGTCTTAAGCTTGAAGAAGTTTGAAGGGTGGTCAGGAACTGCATTCTCTCTCGAGAATGGCACTATTTTCGGATGATTAAGGACAACAGCAAAGGTCATAGGCATTTACAACTTTAAAATAATAGGCTGATCTCCATTTCAGCCCTGTTTCTCCTGCCTTTCCTCCCCCTCAGGCACTAAAAGCAAGAGCCAGGAAAGTCAGAAGACTGACACACTGTCAGTTTATCTGACATTTGGGGCAAGAGCAGGGTTGGGGAAGGCGCAGGAAGGTGAGCTGAAATGTCAGACTAGAGTTTCTCCTGGAGTTAAAGCCTAACGGGAATGACGTTCCCAGGGCCTGAATCCATCTCCACCTTCCATCATCTCTCATCTTCCTCAATTCCTGGAGCAGGCGCCTCGCGGACCTTCCGTCTCCTCCCTGCTTCCAGAGTTTCTGAAATGAAATCGACCGTGTCTCTTTCTGGCATCGAGTTCTCCGATGTCTTCTCACTATCTACCCCTAGCAGCTCCTGCTTCAGTTAACCTGTCGTTCCCCAAACATGCCAAGTTCTCCATGCCATCACCCCCCGAATACAGGTCTCTCTTTGAAAACCAGTTCCCTCTTCCCGATGCCACTTGACCACCTCTGAGGCGACTCTTCAGAACTCGTCTATGGCTTCAGGTCAGTCCCTCGGGACTGGCTGCCTGCCTGCCCTCCCAGAGCACAGTGAGCCACATTTCAAACCTGCACTCCTAGCATCTGGCTTTACGCTTAGAGATTCCCTACCCACCCCCTACCAACACACACATTTTAAAAATTTTCTTGAGTCAGAGTCTCACTCTGTCACCCAGACTGGAGTGCAGTGTCATGGTCATGGCCACTGCAGCCCTGACTTGCTGGGCTAAGGCAATCCTTCTGCCTCAGCTTTCCAAGTAACTGGCACATGCCACCATGCCCAGCTAATTTTAATTTTAATTTTTTTATTGTAGAGATGAAGTCTCACCACGTTGCCCAGGCTGATCTCAAACTCCTGGGTTCAGGCAATCTTCTCATCTCAGCCTCTCAAAGTGCTGGGTTTATAGGTGTGAGCCACCTCACCTGGCCCAGAGCCAATAATATTCTGATGAATGAGTGAATAGATTATACCTTTCACAGACAATAACCAGCCCTTGACTTAATCATTTATAAAGTGATAGACCTAAAACACATAAAGCTTTTTAAGCTACATTTGGATAAAATGAGATTAAAA